ATTCTTCCTTCTCAGAATTGCTTTGGCTATTCGGGGTCTTTGGTGTTTCCATATGAATTTTTGAACTACTTGTTCCAGTTCATTGAAGAATACTGTTGGTAATTTGATAGGGATTGCATCGAATCTGTTTATTGCTTTGGGCAGGATGGCCATTTTGACTATATTAACTCTTCCTAGCCAGGAGCATGGGATGAGTTTCCATTTGTTAGTGTCCTCTTTAATTTCTCTTAAGAGTGTCTTATAGTTTTCAGGGTATAGTTCTTTCACTTCCTTGGTTAGGTTATTCCTAGGTATTTTATTCTTTTTGATGCTATTGTGAATGGAATTGTTTTCCTGATTTCTATTAGTTCATTGTTAGTGTATAGGAAAGCCACAAATTTCTGTGTGTTAATTTTGTATCCTGCAACTTTGCTGAATTCAGATATTAGTTCCAGTTGTTTTGGAGTGGAGTCTTTAGGGTTTTTTATGTACAATATCATGTCATCTGCAAATAGTGACAGTTTGACTTCTTCTTTACCAATCTGGATTCTGTTATAGTGTTTTTGATTTCTAGTATTTCCTTTTGATTCTTTTTTAGGATTTCCATCTCTTTGCTTGCACTGCCCATCTGTTCTTGAATGCTATTTTATTCTTTAGCACCCTGAGCATATTAATCATAGGTGTTTTTAATTCCTCTCAGATACTTTCTACATCCCTGCAGTATCTAATTCTGGTTCTTGCTCTGTCTCTTCAGACTTTTTTTAGTCTCTTGGTATGCCTTGCAATTTTTTTTTTTGATAACTAGACATGGTATACTGGGTAAAAGGAACTGCTATAAATAGGCTTTTTGTAATTTGGTGATAAAGTGGGGGACATGTAGAAGCACTCTATGGTAATCTGATTAGGTCTCAGTCTTTTAATAAGCCTATGCATCTGTACTGTGAACCATACAATGCTTCTTAGTTTTTTCCTTCCCCCTTAGGTGAGACAAGATGGCTAGAGTGGGCTGGAACTGGGTATTTTCCATCCATAAGTGCAGCTAGGCTCTGGTTTTCAGGGTTAGGCTCTGGTTTCACCCCAGTAGGTTAGGCTCTGGTTAACTAGTATTTCCTGAGGACACACCCAGTTAAGAAAAACAGAGTGCCCTGGCAAATTTCACAATGGTTCCTTTTGCTGTCCACCTGCTAGAAGCACAGGGAGTTTTCTCATACTTTCTGTGAGAACCTAGTTGGGCTCCTGGGGTGGTTGACCTTTGTAACTCTGGGGGAAAATAAACCTTTGAAGCTGAAAGCAGTCAAAGGGAAAAATAAAGTGTGAGAAACCCATTTATTGCTTACAAGAAGTCATCTACTCCCGTTCATCCAAGTCTCTCATAACCCGGCTATGAAGGCCCCACCAAACCTCTCCAGTCCAGGTGTGCACTCACTCTCCACCCGCCTTGTAATCACCTACTGATATGGATGGAGATGGACTACTTCTCTCCACCTCTTGGAAACACCTACTGATATGGAGATGAACTAAGGCCAGTCAAGAGATTCTGGAAATAATGCAATTTTACTCACAACCTTAAAAATAAAACAGTTATTTTTCCCTGCAAAAATGAGTTTATTCAGGAATAGCAGAGAATTGCAATTCAGGACAAGCAAGGTATGACAAAAAACCATATGCTAATCCAACAAACAAGAAAAGGAATGTTATTTTGTGGAGAAGAAAGAAGTTGGGAGGGATTGTTTAGAAAAGTCCACTGGGAAAAATAAAAGTTCAGGGTGATGAGGGTTTCTTGTTGGCTGAGTTGCTGGGGTAGTAAATTTCCTGTGGGCATGCACATCTTTTCCTCTTGGGGCCTGTAACTGATAATTCTTTCCTGTTGAGGATTCTGTAATGGACGTGGAGTGTTATGGTGTGAGAGCATGCTCTCCTGGCCTCCCAACTCCATTTTAGTGAGGTTTCCCTTTACCAATTTTCATATATTTTGATAAAGATCTTTCCCTGAAAGCATTGCTGATCAGGAGTCAAGGTTTCTTAATTCAGTGGCTTTTTTTTTTTTGTCTCTGGGTGCTAGGAAGGATCTTTCCTGGGTGTCATGTCCTACATCAGAGGGAAATTGGACAGACTGTAACCTACTGAGATCACATTCCATTAACAAGGAGGGGTAGGAGGGAGAACTCTTAGGCTCTTCCCATCTATAGTCCGTATTTATCAAGACCATAAGTATTGGAGACATCATTTTTGCAAATTTTTTTTTTTTTGTCTCTGGGTGCTAGGAAGGATCTTTCCTGGGTGTCATGTCCTACATCAGAGGGAAATTGGACAGACTGTAACCTACTGAGATCACATTCCATTAACAAGGAGGGGTAGGAGGGAGAACTCTTAGGCTCTTCCCATCTATAGTCCGTATTTATCAAGACCATAAGTATTGGAGACATCATTTTTGCAAAGGTTTGACAGGCAACAAATACAGAATCAAAAATAACATGACAATTTCAAATTGTATGAATGGTTCTAAGCCAGGAACCTAGATCTGAAAGTAGCCACCTGTAATATTTATGGGCACAGAAGAAAAGTTCTCCTTAACTGAGGCAAACCTGAAATCACTATGCCTTCTGAAAGTCCTCACTTAAAGCAGCCGTAAAAGCAGAACAGTGAATAATGCAAGAGCACACTGCAAGAATTACCCAGTACATTTGGAAACATACAGTGCAGGCACAATCATGAAGCAATAGATGATGGATGTGGTGCAAAAAGCAAAACTTAAAAGATGCTTTAAAATGGTACAGTTACCTCAGAAGAACCATTTGGTCAAAATGTGCTACAAATAATAAAGCTTATAAAGTTATAAATTCAGGAACCATGAATTTGGGTAAGAATCTAGAGTCATGTCACAGTGCAGATGAAACAGAGAAACTTCTGTGAATTCTGAATCTTCCAGACTGGCCGTGTTGGGAAAGCCATCTCATCAGATGTCGTCCACTTCAATTCTGGGAAATCTTTACTTTCAGGTTACTGGATTGTACAGATCTGGTTAGGGTTTGGTGTTTTCTTTAGATATGTTAGGAAAGAATCCAAGAGGTTATTCCCTGGAGTTTGTAGGCAACAGGGATCTTGAGTGTGAGCTAGCTATTATAGTTCATTTTAGGCAAGAAGGACAGAAATTGAAGGTGACAGTATTTTCTTTGCTGAGCCCAGCCAACTTCCTGTTCTTCTGCTCTTTCCGCTGGAACAGTGGTTCTCAAACTTGATCACTCACAAACACCACTTGAGGAGGCCTTAGAAATGCAGATTCCCAGGTTGGGCCCTTAAGCTACATGGGTATCTGCATTTTTAAAGGGCTGCTCCAGACATTCTGGTGCAGGTGGGTTCTGAGAAACACCCAGTCTGGAAACCTGGTGAGAGGGTGGGGGTCCTGGACACTTACCTTTGCTTCTCTCCCACCATTGGTAGACCATCAGTCCCAAAATTGGGATTTTTGAGGAGAGCGCTCACCAGTGCCACCCCGACCACAGCTTCCACACTCAGAGGCCAAGACCCTGAGCTCCTTTTGCTCCCCGGACCCCTGAGGTCAGCGGTGGTGGCTGTGGGGGTGTAGGTGGGGCCCTGGCTTGTCCTGGATGCTAAAAAGACAGGAAAAATCAGCAAAGTCACCTGGAGGACAGGAGGTATCTGGGTGAAACTGTCACTCCTTGATCCCCAGTTTGGGGGGTTCTAGGAGGTGGGGAACAGATGTCTGAAGCTCTCACATGGGGAGGGGAGGAGCAAGGTGGGATTCTGAAGGCTTAGACTCCATATCACTCAGTGTGAACCTCGAAGCTACTGCCTGTCAGGGGTGTGGCCTCAGCCCCAGTGCATCACTACAAACAGGGATGACTGTGCCCAGGGTTAAATTTTTTTTAATTGTGATAAAAGGTACATACCATAAACTTACCCTTTTTAGTCATATTTAAGGGTATAGTTCAATGGCTTTAAATACATTCACATTATTGTGCAACTGTCACCACCATCCATCACCAGAATATGCTTATCTTCCCAAACTGAACTCTGTCCCCTTAACCACTAACTCCCCATTCCACTCCACCCACCCCAGCCTGAGCACCCACCCTTCTACTTTCTGTCTCTATCAGTTTTACTTCTCCAGGGAACTCATATAAGTGGAATCATCCAGTAATTGCCCTCTTACATGCTTGCTTTCATAAGTGCAACAACATCTGTAAAGCACCTAGGTTATATTGGAATGTGGTTTTAAGATTAAAATAATACCTAAATCCTACCTTCTTTTACTTGCACCTTCTTTTAATCTAAAAAATTGGGCAAATAAAGGTAAAAAACCCAACTCCAATAAAATTTTCATGTTAGTGTGGAACAAATTTATTGTCCACTCTAATTAGAAATTAATGATAAAGATGTAAATACTATCCCTCAATTGAGAATTAAAAAATTTAGATAGAAAGTTCTTAATCAAAGATAAAATAAGCCAACATGCCAGATAAAATAAAAAGAATAATATGTATGGAAAACAAAACTAAAGCTACACTAACAGTTAAATTTATAGCATTCAACACTTCTAGTATTTAAATATGAAAACATTTTTTTTTAATGAAATACTCAACTTCCAAAGAAAAAATATCAAACACAAAAGCCAGCCCTGAGAAAACTGAGCAGAAGAAAAAATGAAAACCTATGTGGGAATCAGTTTATTAGGAAACAGGACAGCAGTAGGAATAATAAATGCAGAAGTGGTTACTGAGAGAAAAAACAAAGAAACAAACCCAACAAGAGTCCGCTGGAATTACGAGTGAGCCTGTGCCCAACTGTAGGTGGATAAATGAAAAACCTCTGCAAATTGGATGACTTTCTGAAACAAAATTTTTTTAATGAATTTAAGAAACAGTCAATTTTAACTAATGGGTAGACCAAGAAGAAATTGAGAACACTATTAATAATAAGTGTTTATGCCTTTCATAAACATTTGAAGTGCAGGTGGGTTTCATGGATAAATTCATGAGAAAATTTAAGGAAAAGATAATTCCCAAACAGAAGGTTCCAGAACATAGACAAATAGGGAAAACTCTCTGCCATTCTAATTCACTGCAGAAAATAATATAACCCTGATGCTAATCTCCTTTCATAATTTTTTAAAATGCAGATTAAACAGGAGGCCTTGTTTTTTTTAAGCAATGTGAGTGGAGGAAAACACCCAGTTTTGGTACAGGGGAGTATAAGTTGGCAGAACCTTTGGGAATGTGCCCCTGTCAAATCTCCCTCTTAAAAGGACCTGTGTCTGCATTTAGGGCCCAGCCAGCTAACCCCAGATGACCTCCTCATCTCAAAATCCTGAACTGAATCACGTGTCACCATATAAGGTAATATTTACGGGTTCTGGGAATTGGGATATGGACATGCTTTTATAGGGCCTCTATCCAACCCTTGATAGCTTTCAAATCTTTGACCTTTGTTGTACTTCCTGAGAGATTCACACATACTTTGTATCTCAATCTTTTTACCCAGTTTTCCATTTTTGCTCTTATATCTTTAATTTCTAAGAGCTCCTTTCTGTTTGAAAAGCTCCTTGGTAACCCCTGTCTGGTACAGGTGGACCATCTCTAACTATTTGAAGGTGTCCTTCTACACCCCCCACCCCTGGTTTCTGGTGGTTCTGCATCTCCCTCTCCCTGCCCCCAGCTTTGGTTTGCTCTCTGTGGGTCTTGGGAAAGGCTTACTCAAATTTTTAGTTTCACAGGATTTGTAAATAGTGTTTCTAGCCCCCGGCATCCCAGGCACAGCTGAGGGGAGGGTGCCATCCTCAGGGCTGGGGAATTCTGTGCAGGCCAACACCCCCGCCCTGCCCCGTGTCTCCCAGTGTACACAAAGCCACGCTGACTGGAAGCTGTGGGTGGCTGCAGGCAAGTGCTGGCCAGCTACTGGGTTGTAGGGGCATCTGTCAGGATTTCTAGATCTTTTGGGGCATCGGATAGATTTCCAGAGAACCATCTCCTCATCTCTTGCCCTAGATGGACTGTGGGCCACCAGCTTGCCTGCCTGAGTCCTGGGAGGCATAAAGGGGTCCAGGCGTTTAGGGTCTCATCAGTTCACCAGTTTGCCAAGTTCTAAGGGTGAACTGTGGCCCCAGAAATCCCTGGGGTCCTCCCCCCAGAGTCCCTCTGATTCCTTCTTCTGGGAAGCAAATCTGCAGCTTTCTGCTGGGTGGACAGTGGGCACAGGGGTTTCCTTGCTTCTTCAGTAGATTGCCAGCTCACCCTCTAGTTGTGACGCCCTCTCACTCCCGCTGTCAGGGGTGCCTGGGGCGCTGCTGCTGAGCCTTCCTGGGGACTGCAGTGTCAGTCTCTGTCCCTGGGCCTCCCCTACGCTGGGCTTGGGGCTCAGCTCCTCTGCTCTGCGCAGCCAGTCACATTCCTCTGTCTGTGTCCAGCCACCCAATTTTGTTTTTCACCACCTAGCTCACATATTTTTTGTTCTGGGGATCTTTGTCTTAAAAAATGCCCTTTGCTGTCATTTTAGAAGATTTTGGGAGGATCAGATGTAAATATGTGCATAGAACCTGCCATCTTGGCCTGAATTCATACATTATTTTCACAGTGAAAATTATAAGAATTGAACATTCAAATAATAATAATGTTGCTTATTCATAATAAAATAAAGGATACAAGAAAAACATCTTGTGAAACAGTAACATGATCTTTAGAAGAACACTCCCAAGGTTTCCTGAGGGATATTAAACAGAGCCCCTCCTTGGCAGGGAAGATCCCGTGTTAAACTGACTTCCACTTCTGTCAATTGCTTTATAGGTTTATTCAGTTCTGATTTTAAAAATCCCCATAGGTGTTTTTCTCAGAACTTGGCAGACTTGTTCTAATATTTATATGAAAGAAAAGGTGGATACAATAATGAGGTTTTTTGAGGAAGTGATGCGGTGCAGATAGAAATAGTCTTGTGAGCCACTGAAAGATGATAAAGTTGCAATAACTGAAACAGTGTGGTAGTGATGGAAGAAAGAGCCATTGGAACAGGACAGATAGACCAGAATGGACACTGTGCACAGAGACCAGGCCTATGAATCAGCGGAGAAGAGAAAATATTCCATAGCTGGGGTGGGGACACTTGGTTAGTTTCTTGGAATAAAGATCCATGTAGTTCCTCACCTCACACCATCCACCCAAACAAAATCTCACTACATTAAAGAGCTTTATTGTGTAGAGAAATTATATAAAATGTAGAAAAAATTTAATTATTTTCAACCCCTAGTGGGGTATGAGATTTGGGTATTAGAAATAAATGAGAAAAATTATTAATACAATTAGATTTGGCTGTAAAAATAAAATGTATAGTTAAAAAAATTAATAAGCCAACCACAAACTTCTCAGATGTTTACTGCAAATAGTGCAATAGTGTGATGTCTTTGGTGGTGGTACTTCACTAGGAGCAAAAGCATTTATATTATTTTTCAGGTCTGTGTTTTAATGAGCAGGAATATTTTATTAATTGAGTTATTTGAAAGATTAATTTATTGAAGAAAAAACATATAACAAATGTGACTTTAACAGAGACATGACAAGAATACAGGAGGAGGAAGAGGGATCTCAGGAGGGTGGAAATCTCTCAAAAAAGACCATTTGAAGAAATAGGGAGGAAGTGTAGGAAATATAAATCCAAGGTTCTTCTGCTGGATTCAGGATTGAGTCACTGCTTTTACAGCAGCTCGGTGGCAGGATGGGGCTGTGCCTAGCAGGGGGAAGGCAGGGGCTAAGGGACAGCAATGCATCACTGACAAGGTTTAGAATTGCCAGCACAAGAGGTTGTACAAATCAAACCAACTTACTGATTTTTCATTTTCTCAATAATTTTCTGCAGACCATGCACCTCCTATTGCCTGGGCCTGGGAGAGACCCCTTCCCCCACTGCTCTGGAGACAGGTAAACCAGGTTTAAGTTCCAAGCCCCCAGTGCGTAGTATAGGAAGATCTATGAATACAGCACATGCCATTATTAGGTTAAAAATAGGTCAAGACAACAATCTGGCCAAGTCAGTAGGTGAGGCCAAGCGTTAAGAGCAGAGGCTGTGGGGTCAAACTGAGTTGGGGTCCCGCCTGCACCACGAACATGACTTGGGGCAGTTGTGGGCTCTGAGAGCTTCATTTGAGGCTGTGTTCTCGGCAGCAGACAGGAGAAGGGAGTGGTGAGGCTGGGACACTGGTGACAGCCGGTGCCATGGGACTGGGACTCCAGGGTCATCACTGAGGACCTCCTGTGTGCCAGGCTGAGGTCATAGCCTCAGGAGGACAAGTTCAGGGCTGGCTGGGACTGCACACACTGACACACGGCAAAGGGGAGGCTGGCCACATCCTGGAGTCTAGTCCACCTGACCACGTGGGGCGAGGGCAGGGGGCAGGGCTGGAGCCCCAGCTGGGGGCAGGAAGCGGGGATAAGTGGGTCCCAGGAGGTGCTAAGGCCTGGGGGCGGGGTGGGGGCTGGATCTGGGGGCAGAGGGCGATGGGCAGGGAGGGCACTCCAGGTGTGGGGAAGATTAAGGAGAAAGGGTCAAGTTGGCAGAGGCCTGGGGAGGAGTCAGGGGCACGGAGAGGGTCTGAGAGAAGGCAGGAAGAGTGGGGCCTGGGCCAGGCCTGGGGAAGAGGGCCCCAGTGGCCTCCGAGCCCCAGCGGTGGGCACGGTGGCTGCCGGGCAGTTGGACTCACCGGGGATGATGGACAGTTTGGTCCCATTGATGGATTGCCACGCCTTGCTGCCCTCTGTCCGTGTGTCCAGTCGGATCTGGCAGAAATATGTAGTCTCGTCCTCTTTCCGCAGGTTTCTGATCCTGAGGGAACCATTCTTGGACCCCTTGGTCCAGGTCAGCTCAATCCGGTTCTTGTAGTTGTTATGGGTCAAAGACAGCGTCCTGTTGTAAAGGTACTCCCCGTGGAAGTGTGTCAGTCTCCAGCCTATATCCACCCTGGGCTCCTTGGCTAACTCCCAGGGGTAGTAGAAGGAGAAGGGGATGTCCACAGAGCCGCCCTCAGGGGCTGAGAGGTGCGCTGGTTGGTCGACCCCATAGGAGAACTGTCTATTGGATCTGGCTGAGCTGCCTAGAGGAGGGAGAGAGAGACTTTGAGGCCTTGGAGAGATGAGATGACAACCCCATCCCGTCTGGCACCCTCACCACGGGCACTAGTGTGACACACGGCAGGACTGGCCCTCTGGCCTGGGTGTCGCCCTCTCCAGGCTTGGGGTGGGAGGAGGGTGAGGGGTTGGGGTGACCCAGCCCTTTGAGTGTTGGGGTGGAAGCCTGGCCGGCTTCCCCAGCAGTCCTCCTGCTCCAGATGCAGGTCACAGCCCTCCCGGGGCTCCCCCAGGCCCCAGGCAGATCCAAGCTGGACACCCACTCACCAGCCTGCAGAGATGCCAGCAGCAGCAGCTGGGGCAGCAGCTGGGGCCGCCCCATGGCCTGGTTGTCCTCCAGGGGCTGAGAGGACACACAGTGCTGTCAGGCGGGGGGCCTAGGAGGGGCCACCTGGGGCTACTGGGGGATGAGGGGAGTGAAGATCAGGCTCCTTCAGAGGACAGAGGGAGGGTGGGGGCCTTCCCCAACCCCGCCCACCCCCAGGGCGACCAGCACTTCCTTTATTAATCTGCTTCTTCTTTCCCTGTATTGCAAAAGGGCCTCCCTTGTGGTCAGGGCCCAGAGGGCCCTGGTAGGGGCCCAGCCCCCACCTCATACCAAGGGCTGTGGTCCTGACCTTGGCCAGCTGGAGCTCTCCAGCACCCTCCACATCTCCAAGGCCTCAGAGTCCGCCCGTCTCCTTCTCTCTGGTTCCTGAGTGTCTCCTGGCCTCTGTGTCTCTCCTCCCAGGGGAAGGGGTGGCAGCGGGACCTGCTCAGGATCGTTCAGGAGGAAAGGCGGCCGGCAGTGTCTGTCTAGCTACAACCCCTTAGAGAAGGAGGAGGGGGTGGGTGGTCAGAAGCCCCCAGCCCCAGCCCCAGGGGCACACAGCCTGCTCTTGGCCCCTCCTCTCCCATCAGGGGCTGCCCCCCTGTCCTTCCCCTGCAGAACCAGGCCCACCAGGCCCCTCCCACCCAGCGGGCCCCCCTGTGAAGTCTTACACTGTCCCTGAGGTTAGGAGGTGAGGGTGGGCTCCCATCCCACCCACCCAGAGTGGGCCCTGGAGGCCAGGCCTGCCCCACAGGACGCAGGATGCAGGGCCCTCTGTCCTCCACTCACAGAGGAGAGGCCAGTGTCACATGACTCTCCAGTGGCAGGTCCAGGACCAGGACTCCAGAGTCACTGAGTGCACAGAGCCTTCTGCTCCTTCTGGATGCTTCCGCCTGGATGCACCACACAGTCTCTGGGCTTGGCTCCCAAGTGCAGAGTTCTGGGGGTGACCAATTCTCTGGGTGTTTATAATGCTCCTTAGGTGATTCCCTCCACAGCTGTAAGAGCCCTGCCTCCCAGGAAGGTGCCCGGGGACTGACTGGGCTCAGGCTCAGGAAGCTTTAGGTCCCCGTCACCAGCAGAGAGCTGGGCCTTCTGTGCTGAGCAGTGTGCTGGGAAGATGGGGAGGCTTGTAAGGGTGGTGTCAGGAGGTGACAATCCATGCAGCTTTCCAGGCCTGGGCAATGTGTCTGTATCACCTCCTCTGTCCTCACAGATTCTTGGGGTTTGGGGGTGTGGGGAGGGTGGTTCTGCTATTGTCCCCACTTTACAGATGAGAAAAGTGAGGGAGGGACGTCATCTGCCCCAGCAGTCTGAGCCCAGGCCTGCCACCTGTAGTTTCTGCTTCTGTCATAACGACAAGTTTCACTGGTCGCGTAACTGTGACGTCCTCACCTGTCAGCCTCCTTGTGGTGCCACCAGGCTGCATGTCAGCTCCTGGTCAATCTGACCGATGCTGACTGAGCTGCTAAGAGGTGAGCAGAGGGCTGAGACCTGGGAAGCAGAGTTCCACTCTTTGAAGGCTCCAGGCAGGATCCTTCCTGCCTCTTTCAGCTTCTGGGGCCTCCAGCATCCTGGGCATCTGGGGCTTGTGGACGCATCACTCAGTTTCTACCTCACCTGTCTACCTTGACTGGTTTTATTAGATTCCCAGTTCGCAGAGTGGGTCCATGGCTCCAGGGCGTGTTCCCTGAAGGGTAAATAAAAATCATGATGGGAACAGTCAACACTGAAAGGCAGACAACACAAGCATGTAACCCTGAATGAGACCCCTGAGAGAAGGGAGGGAGGGAGTTTGTGTGTGAAGTGAGTGAGTGAGGCTGGCGACCCCATGGGAGGGACCAAGGGAGAAACCAAGGAAGAAAGAGGTCCTTCAAAGGCCGGATGATGTCTGCTACATATTTCCTCTGCCTGAAGGATACCAGCTTCTAATACAAAACTGAGAAATATGTGTTTGTTATGAATGAAAGATAACAAAACAATGACAACTGTGTTACTGTTGTTGTACAAGCCTGGATGTTAATGGACTGGGGATATTGCAGGAATTTTAAGAGATATGGAATTCTTAAATTATTACATATTTATGTTATAAAATTTATTTTTTATCTTCCTTCAACAAAGCCACTAAATATGTTGTTAAAAACAATATTTCCATGTAAGTATTTTCTGTTGTTGGCAATGCCAAATAGGGCAATGTTTCTTTCTTTCCCCAGCTTTATTCAGATATACTTGAAATATAACATTGTGTCCATTTAAGGACTACAGCTGTATGGTTTGATTCTCTTATAAATCAGGAAATATCACCACGGTGGGGTTAGGGAACATCCCTGTCACCCTCCATCATTACCATTTCTTTTTTGTGTAAGAACATTTAAGATCTATGTACTGACTTGGCCACTTTCAAGTATATATACTACAGTATTGTTCAGTACTGTCACCATGCTGTGCTTAGATCCCCTGGACTTATTCGGCTTCTAACTGAAACTTGTTCCTTCTGCCATCTTCCCATGGCCCCCACCACACACACCTTGGCAACCACCATTCTCCTGTTTCTATGGGTTCAGCTTTTTAAAATTGTATATATAAGTGATATCATGCACTGTTTATCATCCTCTGGCTTATGTCACTTAGCATGATGCTCTCAAGGTCCATGCATGTTTTCATTAATGGCACAATTTCCCTCTTTCTAATAGCTAAATAATCATTGTGTGTGTGTGTGTACACACACACATCACTTTTTCTTCATCATTTATCCGTTGATGGCTTCCATGTCTTGTTTTGTCTATTACAAATATTGTTGCAGTGAGCATGGGGGTGCAGATGTCTTTTTGTGTTCATGTTTTGCTTTCCTTGCAATAAATATCTGAAAGAGGAATTGTTGGATCATATTAGTAATTTCTTATTTGGTTTGAGTTTTGTCATCTTTTAGAAAACCAACTATTATGTATTTGAAATGCTTGTTGCCTTTGTGGCTGAATAGTTTAGCTGAGTATAAAATTCTTGTTGTCTTTTTTTTTTAGTTTGGGGGTTTGCAAGACTTGTTCCACTGTCTTCTAGTCTTGAATGTTGCTGCTTATTAATCTATGCCAATTTAAATTTTGTCTTGTTGGTGACTTACACCTGTGTGTGCTTTAATATCCAAAGGAGTCTTTCTTTATCTTTAAAAATCAGTGATTTTACTAATGACCCTTGCTGCTGGTAGCTTTTTGTCAAATTTCTGGTTTGCATGTAATAACAAAGACTCCAAATGTGAAAGAGAAGTGGTCTGAATTACAGGTTGACAAATCCACAATTATGTGAATTATGACATTGTGTTCAGTTGTGAATTACAGAAACAAATAAAACCCAGGAGCTTACACAAATTAGATAAAAAAGATTTTTCTCAAATAATGAGAAGTCTGCAAGTAGGCAGCCCAGGGCTGGCCCAAAGGTGCCATAGAGGCCCTGGCTCTCTGTTTCTTTCCCTTTCAAGCAGCCTTAGCATGTGCTTCATTTCCTGTAGCCATAGGATGCCTGCTCCCTCCCAGCACCGTATCTGCATCTTATGAGATAAAGAAGAGAAAGTGAAAAGGGCAAAAGACTCCCACCCGTCAACTCTCTCTGCCTGTTAAAGAACTTTCCTGAAGCCCAACTCAGACATGTCAGCTTAAACAGGTCACCAGCTAGAACCTAGTTGCATGTAAGCCTGGAAAATGTAGCTTTTTCACCAAGCACTTGGCTACCCGGGGGGGAAAAAAATCAAGACTTCGTTAATAAGGTGGAAGGGAAGAATGGACTTGAGTGGGGAATTATTGGTGTCTGCCACACCACTCCTTTAATTCAAACTTCAAATGATAAAAGATTTAAAAGATCAGTTGCAAAAATGATTGACACTACCCCGTGTTTCCTTTTTAAGCATGAAATACAGTTCAGCCACGCAGGGAACATGGCAGCCACTGGAGGAAGTGGCTTGCAGATCTCCAACTAGGGGAGCATAATTGATAGAGGGTCCCAGCTGCCCTGCTCCCCTCAATACCCCATTGGAGTCACTGTCCATCAATGTGGTAAGATGCCACGGAGTCACTACTTGTCTGTGCTGCGCTGAACAGACTTCTTTTTGATGCTATTATAAATGGGATTGGTTATAGACTTTGTTTTTGGTTTGTTTATTGATAGTGAATAGAAATACAATTGATCCTTATATATTGGTCTTGATTCTTGCAACCTTATTGAACTTATTTATTAGCTTTAATAGTTTTTTAGTGTATTCCTTAGAGTTTTATATATACAAGATCATATCATCTGAAAATAGAAAGTTTTCCTTCTTTCTTTCTAATCTATATGCTTTTTATTTCACTTTCTTCCTTAATTTCTCTGGCTACCTCCAGTATAATACTGAAATCAGTAAGGGGGAAGCTGTACATAAGAAATAAATAGAGGTAAATAAACATAAGTGCAAATACCAATATAAGATGCAAAATAGGACATAAAATGTTTAAATCATCAGAAAAAAATATTTGATTATCCATTGGGAAGCAGGGAAAGATAAAGTACAATAAATACAAAATCTAAAATAATTGGAGGAAACAACCCTTAACTATACACTCATTGCAATAAATGCAAATAGGCTAAACTCACCAATTAAAAGACAGTGAACTGCGATCAAGAGCATATGCTCTCAGTGAACAACTCACTCTCCCAGAAAGTAGAAAGAAGAGGCTGGGCTTACCCCACCCAATCTCTCCTCCTAAACTCACCTATCAGGTTGAATCCCCTCTAAACCAAGTAGAGCAGTAGATAAAGAGTTGAAAGCAGACAGGATGTACACTAATGGCTATTCTTGCTAAGTGGAAACATCAGAAGTGAGGAATAAATGTTCTCTCTACCACAACCTCTAACAAAGAACTCTTATAAATTGATTAGAAAAAGATAATCTCATAGACAAATGGGCAAAAGTCAGTTGCAAAATAGCATTTATAGGAATAAATGCTCAAACTCCCTTGAAGCCAGAAAACTGAAAATTAAAGCCACAATTCCCTATGCCTGAATGTGGAGGAAAAGAAAAGGAGAAAGGAAATTATGCTGGAATTTGATGTGCACAAGCCTTTTTGGAAGGTAATCTGGCCACATCTATTTCAGGATCGGCTAT